AGGTATGTACTCTCAGAATATTGCAGAGTATAATTTGACTATAATAAATTACTAACAATGACTAATATAAGTTATCTGAAAATTCAGATAACTTATTATCATTAAAAATAATGGGAAGACTAAGAATATAGGGTAATTCTTAGTCTAATCAAGTTATGGGTGTTAATAGAATTTGTAAATAAACATGCATATTTTGTTGAGATTTGAAGAAACAGCTAGATAGACTTAGTGACTATAACTAAATGTTTAGGAAATCCCCACATAAAAATTACATACCATAACATACCATAAACACAAATATGTGTGAGTGAAGTGGAATAGTTATTTTTAATAGATGTTTGTGTTTAAGGATATGAAGGGTAATCCACAAAATTTAGAATCAACTTATGAGTAATCTACTTAAAAAGTATTTCAAAAATTTTAATTAAAGCAGAGACCAGCAATTTTTTAACTCAAAATTCAGTTAGGTATTAATTCAAATATTGAACTATCCTGTAGCACAGTCCTCCCGTTGTTCATTGACTTGCTCAAACAGGTCCAGTAATGTCTCCATTGTGTGACTTGTTGTTACTGTTTTTGGCATATTGAATACGTCACGGGGAGCTTGCCAGGCTTTGCCATGTAGGTGGGATAGTCTCCGTAGCTTGCCAGGCTCTCCGAGAGGGGCGGAGGAATTGAACTTGGGTCAGTTGGGTTGGCCGTGTGCAAGGCAAACACCCTACCCTCTGTGCTATCGTTCCATCTCATAGTGATTCAATTTAAAAAAATTACAGGTCAGCTGGCTATTGCTCAGGAATTCAAATATTAAAAATAATCACTGTCACTGTCCTCCCATTGTTCATCAATACTGCTCGAGTGGACCCAGTAATGTCTCTATTGTGACACTAGTTTCTGTATTTGGCATATCAAATCCGTCACGGGTAGCTTGTCAGGCTTTGCCATGCAAGGCAAATGCCCTACCCTCTGTGCTATCAATCCAGCCCATTAAAAATAATAAAATTGTAAAAACTGCTATTGGAATTGCAATGTGATTGCCTTATAAGTTAATATATTTGAGCTTAAGAAGCTGAATGGTACTTCAAAACTGTACTTTGAAATTCTAAGTTAATTTCATAAATATAAATATAACACACATAAGAGAAAAAGTTACAATGATTTTTAAAATATAATTCTCACACTATTAGATTTAATTTTAAAATATACCTTTCCATGATTGTTATAATTACAGTGTGCAACCATCAGTAAATGCTATTATATTTTGTCATTTTCATTATCACAAAAAGAAAATATTGCCACTTGAAAACAATCCCCCTTTCAATGTCACCAATAATATATTACTTCTTACCCTTCTCATATAAATAAAATCACAGAGCAGGTGGTTTTTGAGTGATGTTTTTTGACTTCATGTGATTTATTTTAACATAATTTCTTATAATTTTTGAAAAGTAAAAGAAGTTAAGATAGAAATTGTTATTTTCTTTAAAAGTCTGTAATGGGAGCCAGAGTCACACTACAGTGAGTAGGGTATTTGCTTTCCATGCAGCCTACCCAGGTTTGAACCCCAGCATCCCTTGTTGTCCCCATACACTGCCAGGAGTAATTCCTGAGTGCAGAGCCAAAAGTAGCCCCTGAGTTTCACCAGGTATGAGCAAAAAGAAAATATATGTTTTTAAGTCTATAAGAAAAGTATAAGAAAAGTCTACTTCAATAAATCATTTTATATTCAGTGGTATAAATTTTATACACAAAGGTAAGAGTAGAAATGCTTTCTTCCAATTATCTGTAGCACTGTAGCACTGTCCTCCCGTTGTTCTTCGATTTGCTCAAGCGGGCACCAGTAATATCTCCATTGTGAGACTTGTTGTTACTATTTTTGGCATATCGAATACGTCACAGGATGCTTGCCAGGCTTTGCCATGTGAGCAGGTTAGTCTCGGTAGCTTGCCGGGCCCTCCGAGAGGAACAGAATTTGAAATGATGTATTTTTTGTTTTCCTGTGGTGCTGCGATCAAACCCAGGCCTCATGTATGCCAGGCAAGTGTTTTACCACTGAGTTACATCCCCAATCTTGAAATAAAATATTTTCTAATAAAGTCAATCTTTAACCCATTTGTATAATGTTATAAAATGCCATGTGAAGACTAGGGAGAAAGGAGAGCGGGTAAGGCATTTGCCCTGCCCACAGCCAACTGGGTTTCAATTCCTGGTACCATGCATGGCTCCCAGGCCCCACAAGTAGTGAATCGTGAGCGCAGAGCCAGAACTAAACTTTGAGCACAACTAGGTGTGGCTCCAAAACAAGCAAAATTAATAAATAAAATGCAATGTGACCCATTAAGACATCATAACACTAGTCTCAATTTCTTTTTATAAGCTTTATATAAGAGTCTCATTTCTTTAGGGTCTTGAAACTGAAAAAATATCTAGAATTTTGCAAATACGAACGTGATTCCTGATATTTTTGGGGAGGGGGCAGTACACACCCATAGTTCGCAGGGGCTATTCCTGGCAGTTTGTTGGGGAGGGGGGTGTTATCTGTGGTACCAGGGATCAAACCAGAGTCTGCAGCACCCAAGCCAAGTGCTATAGCCCTGTGCAAACTTCTCTAGCCCCTGATCTCTGTTATGTGAAAAAATGTCAATAAATGTTTCTGTTACATAGAAAATAGTTTTTTTTTTAAAGCGCCAGTTTTAGATTTTTAGATCTGGTTGAATTTCCACCTCTTCTTGAATTTCTAAATTTTAATTACTAGCAAAATTAACTAAAACAAAATGAACCTTTTAGAAGCTTCATGAAAAAAGTCCTGAATTTTCCCTTGAAAGAAAGGGAAGGGAATCTGCTTTGGCAGGGGAGCAAGATGTGCAGAGAGTGGGGTTGGGTCAGCCCCTCAGCACCGTCAATGGCATGCTCAGGCAGAGGAGTTGACACAAGCCACAGAGGCAGGCACGTAAGTCTGGGTGAGCCTCAGGCCAAGCTACTAGAATCTGCCTGAAGTGGCGCTTAGACACGGTTGCCTTAAAGAAAAGATTTTATGACTTAAAAAAATAAGTGTATGTGACTGGTTGCTTTTTAACTATGTTAATGTTAAAATTTTCAAAATCAGGTATTATATGGGGGTACAGATTTTCTTTATAATTAGGTGCACAGCAGCAATTTTTTCATCAGTGTATTTATGATAAACCAGTTTTATATCTAATATCTAGTACTGTCTTGTGTTGAATAGATAACCATTCTAAATTATAAGCTTTAAAGTAGTCTGAAGTCAAATCAAAGAATGGTGTCTGAAAGTACCATGTGCAGTGCAATAAGCATTAGTTTGGGATTTAGAAATCCTTGTTTCTAATACTTTCCACTAAGTACTTTGCCGAGTTTTAGGCAACTTGGGGACCTTATCTCTTTACCAAGCTGGATAGAAGCTAAGAATTATTCCTACAAAACAATAATATTATTTTTAAATATTATCCTAAAATATCAAATGAATTTAACTGTAAGATATACAACAAACCACAGGTTCCACTGATAAAAACAGAATATATAACCAAATGAGGAAAAATTATCTTGATTTCTTATTTAAAAAGTCAAAATCAATAATGTAGGGTCATGTATTTACATGATAATTGCCAAGATACAAATTGGATACAGAAACTGGGAGGAGCAAAGCAGAAGCTAAAGGACATCTGACTCTTTTTTCTAAGTAAATGAAGAGTCCAGGGAAGGACAGCCGCCTCCTTATCTTATGACTTGTAATATCTCGACCCACCAAATGAAACAGAATTTTGCAGAATCCATGGATAAAGTCCAAAAACAGAGAATACAACTTTTTCTGGTGCCAGTCTCACCCTTTTTACTCACTAGAGTATCTCCGCCCTTAATATGCAGATAATATTCAGATTGTTTTTTCCCCTAAAGAAACAAGAAAGAATTGATTATTTTTATAAAAGTCTTTTGAAGTTTTTCTTATATCAATACCCATCTTTCCTTACATAATAAATATTGGAATGTCAATTTTCATTTTTCAGAATTAAAAAATAACTGGACTATCCATTAATTAATTTGGAGTGGTCCACAATAACTTCCTTCTGTTAATATGTGTTGTGGACAAGGTCAATGTGTTATTACATTTTCTTTCTAACAAGAGAGGTAAAGGTTAGCAAAGATGAATTATGATATTCTATTTGCTAAAGTAATGGGACAAGATAAACTCCAAGGCTTCTTTCATTTCTGAAATTTAAAATGCAGATGTATATTTTCTTTGTGTAATTGGGAATATATGGCATTTGAAAAAATCACTCAATATTTCTCAGATATTCTTAAAGTGGATAATATTTCTTCTTTAATTAATTGCATATGATTGTCACGATAGCTCAGGTATAAAATCTCTCCTGATGACAAAATACACCATAAGAAAAATTTCCCCTTCTGGATTAATATTATGTTTTATACACAGAGAAGTGATCTTATATTGAGAATTATCTAAAATGTATGAGTAGAAACTTGAAAATTTCAGCATGCATGATTTTCTCTTGTTCTAACCTTTTATTATAACACTTTATTTCCTATAAGAGCATTAGCAAAAAAAAATATTACTGTATTTTGCTCAGAATTGTATCTTCATCACTTAATTACATAAGTAATGATTTTTATTATTCATAATGTTTGGTCAGCCTAGAACCAACTAACAATTTCCACAAAAGCCCATTAATTATTATTCAATATGTTACATTCTAAACAAAGTAAAATCTGTGTGTTAGGATTGAATCATTTCACTGCTTCAAAGCCATCACATATACACTTACAAAAAACAAAAATTTGAAAATAAAAGTGAAAATATTTTAGGCTAAGTCAGTTTTTCTAAAATTATTGTTACTCTTTCTAACTGAAACTAAAAAGCAAATGTAGTTGTAATCAATTCAATAAATATAAAAACAAAAATATATGCACTAATTATCATCTATTTTCTTCGTATTAAAGGAACTTTGGAACCTTTCTGAACTGAATAAATGGATCTTAAAAATGGATCTTTCGTGACCGAATTTATTTTAGTAGGATTTTCTGCACAATGGGAACTTCAAATTTTCTTCTTTGTGGCTTTCTCGGTGATCTATGGAGCTACCGTGTTTGGAAACATTCTTATTATGGTCACAGTGACATTTAGTTCCACTCTTCATTCTCCTATGTATTTCCTCCTCGGAAACCTCTCTTTCTTGGACATGTGTCTGTCCACTGTCACTACACCCAAGATGATCACAGACTTGCTGACTATACACAAGACCATCTCCTTGTGGGGTTGCATGGCACAGATGTTCTTTATGCATTTCTTTGGTGGTGCGGAAATGACTCTTTTGATAGCCATGGCCTTTGACAGATATGTAGCCATATGCAAACCCTTGCACTACAGGACAATAATGAACCACAGGTTACTGAATGGGTTTGTGATAATTTCATGGATAATTGGTTTTATACACACTATGAGCCAGATGGTATTAACAGTGAACTTGCCATTCTGTGACAACAATGTCATAGACAACATATTTTGTGACCTTCCCCTTGTTATTAAGCTTGCGTGTATTGAAACATATACCCTGGAATTATTTGTGATTGCTGACAGTGGACTGCTTTCATTTCTTTGTTTCATCCTTCTGCTTGTCTCCTACGCTGTCATACTGATCACTGTTCGACGAAGATCATCTGGAGGACTCTCCAAAGCTCTCTCCACATTATCTGCCCACATCATTGTGGTTACTTTATTTTTTGGACCTTGTATCTTTATCTATGCCTGGCCATTCAATAGCTTCGCAGGCAATAAAATACTTTCTGTATTTTACACAGTTATCACACCTTTACTGAATCCTATTATATACACTTTGAGAAATGAGAAAATGCAAGGGGCAATGAAAAAATTAAGGTTTCATCATGTTAGCTCTGTGTAAAATTTCTAGATTTTAGCACTACATAACACAGCTTTAAAGAACCATACTTAATGGGAGGCAGATCAATAGTACAGCAGCTAGGGAACTTGCCTTGACTGCAGCTGACCCAGGTCAGATCTCTAGCGTCCCGTATGGTCTCCTGGATTCTCCAGTAGTAACCTCTCAGCACAGAGTCAAAGTAAGCCCCAGTCATGCCAGATAAAGCCCCAAATCAAACTAACAAAAAAAAAAGAATTATGCTAACTGAATTTGAAATGTAATATCTTTTTATACATAATTTTACTTTTCTGATGCTTGTATCATATTCAGTGTATATCAATCAATATTTTAATGCATAGTTAATGATGTTAGAATACATGATGGTAATTAGAAACCTGGAGCCAAATGAACACATGAGATTATTAACTAATTTTGTAGATATTTAATATATGTATCATATACATATCTATAAGTGATAAAATAAATATTGAAATATGAATAATATTAGAAAATATTTGAACAAATAATTCTTCTAACAGCATTAATAAACATGTACTTTTATTAAATGAGTTACCATGAACAAACCTTGATTTAAGTAAAGTTAACAACAATGGGAAAGTGTGATTCAAAATATCTTGAATAAACAAAGATACTACGAGAAAAGAAAACTACAGGCCGATATCCCTGTTGAACACGGATGCGAAGATTCTCAACAAAATGCTAGCAAATAGAATTCAACTACTCATCAAAAAGATCATACACCATGACCAAGTAGGATTCATACCGGGGATGCAAAGCTGGTTTAACACTAGGAAATCAATCAACATAATCCAGCACATCAACAAAAGAAAAGATAAAAATCATATGATCATATCAATAGATGCAGAGAAAGCATTTGACAAGATCCAGCACCCATTTATGATGAAAACCCTAGCCAAAATGGGGATACAGGGGACTTTTCTCAATATAGTTAAAGCCATCTACCACAAGCCTACAGCAAGCATCGTCCTCAATGGCGAAAAACTGAGAGCCTTCCCTCTAAGATCAGGGACGAGACAAGGATGCCCACTCTCTCCACTGCTGTTCAATATAGTATTGGAAGTACTTGCAATAGCGATTAGGCGAGAAAAGGATATTAGGGGCATCCAGGTAGGAAAGGAAGAAATCAAGCTCTCACTATTCGCAGATGATATGATACTATACTTAGAAAACCCTAAAACTTCTATGAAGAAACTTCTAGAAACAATAGGCTTGTATAGTAAAGTGGCAGGTTATAAAATCAATGCCCAAAAGTCCATGGCTTTCCTATATGCAAATAGTGAAAGAGAAGAAAAAGACATGAAGAAAACAATCCCATTCACAATTGTGCCCCAGAAAATCAAGTACCTAGGAATCACTTTAACTAAGGAAGTAAAGGACCTGTACAAAGAAAACTACAAAACTCTACTTCAGGAAATAAAAGAGGATACGAGGAAATGGAAAAATATCCTCTGTTCATGGATCGGGAGAATTAACATTGTCAAAATGGCAATACTTCCCAAAGCACTGTATAAATTCAACGCAATCCCTATTAGGATACCCATGACATTCTTCAAAGAATTGGAGCAAACACTCCTGAAATTCATATGCAACAATAAGCCCCCACGAATAGCTAAAGCAATTCTTGGGAAAAAGAAAATGGGAGGAATCAACCTCCCTAACTTCAAACTCTACTACAAGGCAGTAATAATTAAAACAACATGGTATTGGAACAAAGCCAGAGCTGTAGACCAATGGAACAGGGTTGAATATACTGACGTCCCCCCCCCCAAGTATACGAGCATCTAATCTTCGATAAGGGGGCAAGAAAAGTGAAGTGGAGCAGGGAAAGCCTCTTTAACAAATTATGCTGGCAAAACTGGACGGCTATATGCAAAAAAATGGGCTCAGATCTCTGCCTAACTCCATGTACAAAAGTAAGATCTAAGTGGATTAAAGACCTCAACATCAGACCGGAATCTATAAGATACATTGAGGAAAATGTTGGCAAAACCCTTCATGACATAGAAGCTAATAGTGTCTTCAAAGATGTCACACCGCTGGCCAAGCAAGTGAAAACAGAGATAGATAAATGGGACTATCTTAAACTAAGAAGCTTCTGCACCTCAAAAGAAACAGTGACCAAAATACAAAGACAGTCAACTGAATGGGAAAGGATATTCGCCAACTACACATCTGATAAGGGGTTAATTTCAAGGATATACAAAATACTGGTTCAACTCCACAAAAAGAAAACATTCAACCCCATCAAAAAATGGGGAGATGAAATGAATAGAAACTTTGACAAAGAAGAAATCCGAATGGCTAAAAGACACATGAGAAAATGTTCCACATCATTAATCATCAGGGAGATGCAGATCAAAACCACAATGAGGTATCACCTCACACCACAGAGACTGGCCCATATCCACAAGAACAAAAGCAACCAGTGCTGGCGCGGATGTGGTGAGAAAGGGACATTCCTTCACTGTTGGTGGGAATGCCGACTGGTTCAGCCCTTCTGGAAAACAGTATGGATGATTCTCAAAAAACTAGAAATTGAGCTCCCATTTGACCCAGCAATACCACTCCTGGGAATATATCCCAGAGAGGCAAAAAAGTATAGCCGAAGTGACATCTGCAATTGTCTGCTTATTGCAGCACTCTTTACAATAGCCAGAATCTGGAAAAAACCTGAGTGCCCGAGAACAGATGACTGATTGTAGAAACTCTGGCACATTTACACAATGGAGTACTATGTAGCTGTTAGAAAAGGCGAAGTCATGAAGTTTACATACAAGTGGTACTACATGGAAAGTATCATGATAAGCGAAGTGACTCAGAAAGAAAGGGATAGACATAGAAAGATTGCATTCATCTGGGGAACATAAACTAACAAAATAGGAAACTAACACCCAAGTATGGCAGAGATTAGTACCAGGAATTTTACTCCATGACCCAGAGGACAACCACACATGGTAGGGGAAGGGGGAGCTCAGAAAGAGAAGGGAACACCAAATAAAGGGTGTTGGGAGGATTCGCCCATGATGGGAGAGCATGCTGAGGGTAGACTGTCGACCAAGCATGATTGCCACTCAATGCCTCTTTTGCCGACTATGGCACTCAAAAGGAGAGAGAGGGAAATGCCCTGCCACAGAGGCAGGGTGGGATAGGGGCTGGGGGGGAGGGGATGCTGGGATCCGTGGTGGTGGGAAATGTGCACTGGTGGAGGGATGGGTGTTTGATCATTGTATAATCGAAACCCAAGCACAAAAATGTGTAAGTCTACAACTGTACCTCATGGTGCCTCACTATTAAAAAATAAATAAATATAAAAAAACAAAATATCTTGAATAAATAAATTGAAAAATAAAATATCACAATGTAATGAATATAATATTATAACATGCTTGAGTGATTATAAAATAGCAGAAGGAAAATAAACAGTGGAGGAGAACTTAAGAATAACTACAGAGTCTTAATATAAATTTCAGAGCTACAAAGAACTCTAACTCCACCTACTCTCCCTCTCACCACAGTCAGTGCCAGTCTCCAGACCTAAAACCTTGGGCTCCGGTGCCAGCTGATCCCAGTCACAATATCAGGGAGTTGCACCATTTGACATCAGTTCTAATTCTCAGAACCCAAAACCATGCATATGCATTAGTTCCTGCAATAGACTCTTTACATTGAAGCCAATGGATACAACATACATACTCCACAGACCAATGTCAATGGTCTAAATTCACCAATTAAGAGACACAGAGTAGCAAACTGGTTTCAGAGTCAGAACCCAGCATTCTGCTGCCTACAAGAAACTCATCTGAACAATCATAGCAAACACAGACTCAAAGTCAAAGGATGGAAAACAATCCTGCAAGCAAACAGCTCCCTCAGAAAAGCTGGGGTGGTCATACTGGTATCCGACAACATAAATTTCAGGTTGAAAAACATTAGAAGGGACAATGAAGACCATTTTCTATTTATCAAGGGATACGTACATCAGAAAGAAATCACACTCTTAAATGCATATGCACCTAATGAGGGACCAGCTAAATACTTAAAACAACTGGTAACAGATTTTAAGGAGGACATTGCTAGCAACACAATAGTAGCCGGAGACTTAAACATCACCTTATCACCTCTGGATAGATCAACAAGAACAAACCTCAGCAAGAAAAAATTGGCTTTGAAGGAAGTAATAGAAAAGAGAGGGCTTATAGACCTATGCAACCCCCAAAGAAAGAATATAAATTCTTCTCCAGTGCACATGGAACATTTTCCAAAATAGACCATGTGATAGACCACAAAACATACCTCAATAGAATCAGGAAGAGAGAAATAGAATCAACAATTTATTCAGACCATGGTGCACTGAAGATTGAAGTGAATCACACACAGACACGGAGAACCAAATAAAACACCTGGAAATTAAACAACTCAATGTTGAACAATGAGTGGGTCAGGAAAGAAGTCAAGGAAGAAATCAAAAGATACCTGGAAACAAATGAAAATGAAGACATGAGCTACCAGAACCTATGGGATGCAGCTAAAGCTGTGTTAAGGGGGCTCAATTCCAGCATTACGTGTGGTCCCTAAGTATAGCCCAGAGTAAATCCTGGTTGCAGAGCCAGGAGTAATACCTGAACACTGCCAGATGTGGCTGAAAACAAACAAATGATCAAGTCCTGGTACAGACGAATTTAATGGTGACTTTTATGAAACATTGTGAAGACTTACTGCTGTTCATCCTTAAGTTCTTCCAAAATATCAAAGAAACAGGAACACTCCTAATACCTTCTATGAAATTAACATTACACTGATACCCACAACAGACAGAGACATTTCTAAAAATGAAAACTTTAGAATAATATTCTTAATGAACATCAATGCCAAAATCCTCAACAAAATCTTAGCAAAACGAATCCAACAGTATATAACAAAAGTCATATACCACAATCAAGTGGGATTTATCCCAGGGTTGCAAGGATGGTTCAACATAC